TCATCTCCTGCCTGTTCCTCCTGACTCACGTGCTCGTCCTGCTGAGGCTCTCGTTCTTCCCAGGGCTTCCCCAGACCCTCCCCCGGGGGGCTGGCCAGACCCTGCGCCTTCCGACTGCTTCACTGCCTATTTCACACACGTGGGTGCTCCTGAGGACACCTTCACCGTAGGGTGGATCCCCTCACACGGTGAGATCCACCAGTCCCTGTCTTTCACTTAGATGCTGCCCAGTTTGGGTAAATTGGTTCAAACTTGTGTTTCCTGAGGTCAAAAGCAAGTCACATACAAACATTGGGTTTCTTTCCATTTTGACTGTAGAAATTGGTGGCAGGGACTTTCTTTCCTAAATTTACTAACATAACACATATCATTTCTACTAATTTGGTATCATTCCTCCCTTTATATAACAGGGGCACCTCAGACTTTCCCCGATCAATACTATTTCTTAATAGGACTCACATGTCGTTCTCTACCCAGGGAGTCACTGATTTCAAACCCACTATAACATCTTCCTTCGTTCATAATGTGTCGTGGTTGGACTGCAGAATTTGGTCCACAACATATAGTGCTCCCTAGGGAGCTCTAGAAACTGGTCTTAGATTTTTCAGGTATTAATACTGATTTTCATATCGGAAACCATTTAATTTCTCAAATTTCTGTCTCATAACTTGTTTACAATGGTCCATGAAGGCCAGATGCCCTTCCCCCCCACTCCCCCACCTACCACCAGTCACCCTTCTGCATTTGAAAACACCCACTTGTATTTCAGGAAAGACCAGCATGGTCCTCACTGGCCTCTGCAGTGGGAAAACAGACTTTAGAGATTGAGGGCACAGCACATAGTTCTCTGCCAAAGCCAGCCAGGCCCTGCCTGTCCCCCTCACTGTTTTCTGGATCACTTCTAGTCTTGACTCTGCTCCACCACTGTCTCAGGTCAGTCTCCATGGAACACCTGGGCAGAACTGTCCTACTTCGTGGCCCCGCAGCCTGAGTGCTGGACTGACCTCCAGGCTTGGCCCTGGTGTCCCCTGGTACTTCTGGTACTTCTGGTACTGGTACTGGTACCAGTACCCCTGGTACTTCTGCTCAAATACACCTTTCCAGACCATGCTGTCCAGTGTTCTCCAGGCTTATGAGCTCTGGGAAGACCCATCATTACCCGTCTCCAGGACAACCCTGGAAAGCAAGCCTTGGGGAGAACACCTGTAGGTTGACTGGTGTAGGTCTGTGCCGTAGAAAGGGCCTCAACACCTGCACGCACTTTCCAGGTCAGGCCTCTGAGGTTGGTCAGTCAGTTGGTCAGGGAAGAACCAGGAGAGGTCCAGGGTGGTCTCTGACTCCCTGGTCTCTGTCTTCCACAACCAAACCCTGACGCTTCTTTGACCTGAGAAGGCCTGTGCTTGCTCTCAGACAGAGAGCAGGTGGCCTGTGTTCTCAGAGCGCTCAGTTCCTCTTGCATTTGTCTTGAGCTACACACACCTGCCTTATTCTTTGAAGGACTCAGGTACCACCCAGGGCAATGTTCTTTCTGTTGTCTGCACAGCGGAGTTACCCAAACCCAGCATCACAAGCAACAACTCCAACCCCGTGGAGAATGTGGATTCTGTTGTAATAATGTGTGGACCTCAAACTCAGAGCACAGGCTACCTGTGGTCAGTAAACAATGAGAGCCTCCCGGCCAGCGCCACACTGGAGCTGTCCCTGGACAACAGGACTCTCACTATACACGGTGTCACAAGGAATGACACAGGACCCTATGAGTGTGAAACTCGGAACCCAGTGAGTGCCGGTCGTAGTGACCCATTCACCCTGAATGTTCTCTGTGAGTAACTTCCCTTCCTACCTGGCCCGGGCTGCCAGCACAAATCCACACGCCAAGGGCCAAGCCAAATCCATCCTTCTGGGGTCCGAGTCCATGAATCTCAGCTACACTCCCAGGCTGACCATGGCTTCTTGTCTCAGGCAAACCTGGGCAGGCCCAGCCTAAGCCAACCCTAGGAGGAGATGGGCTGTTCCTCCCTGAGAGGGTCAGTAGCCTGTGAGGAGACACAAGTGAATGTCTCAGACCTAGGCTCAGTGAACATGGGGCTTCTGGTTGGGACTTTTTAAAATGAGGTTGGGACCCAGCTCAGAGGGACACTGTGGCCCTAATACACACCAGGAGCTTCGGTTTCCCTCGGATTGCATCACCTGTGGCTTTATTCTGTTTGCTCCAGATGGCCCGGACTCCCCCATCATTTCCCCCTCAGACACCTATTACCATCCAGGGGACAACCTCAGTCTCTCCTGCCACGCAGCCTCTAACCCGCCCGCACAGTATTCTTGGTTTATCAGTGGGAGGCCCCAGTCATCCACACAGGAGCTCTTTATCCCCAAGATCACTGTGAATGATAGTGGATCCTATACCTGCCTCGCCTATAACTCTGGCACTCGCCTCAATAAGACCACAGTCAAGACTATCACAGTCTCTGGTAAGTGGATCCCTGGAGCATCTGCATGGATCACTATGGTTAAGGTCTGTCTGGCTTTCAGCAAAGAGCCTAGAAGTTACTGGCATTTGTTTATGTCACAAACAAATCCCCAATCTGTCCTTGTACTCTCCCTTTACATGTCTGCAGACGCTTCCTCCCCTTGCTCTCTGATTTCTCATGGCAGACCTCGGGTCCAGCCTGGAATGTGGGAGAGGGTTCTCTCAGCCCCAGAACGGTGCTGGTGGTGGTGGTGGCAGGGGCTTATAGATGGAGAAGGAAGGTCCTTTTGCTCCTGGCTCGCCCTACAGAATGACTGTGCTCTGAGTTCATCTGTGGTGGGACAGGGGCATACGGAGAAGGTACAGGAGAAGCCTGTCTTCAATCTGGCCAAATTGTGCTACCAGTTGTGCCAGAGTCTCCCTCACGTGAGGCCGCCGGGAAATGGGCAGGAGCAAGCCTTGAGGCTGACCCTCTGATTGTGTCAGGCTCTGAAGTCTACCAGTTCTATAACCCTGCGTGACACCAGTACATTTATACTTAAGGAGAGCAGTGAATAATGGTAGATTCCCCCACGAAGTCCCTTCATGGGACAGAAGGTGCAGTGCCAAAAGTATATATTTATACC